CTGGCCATGGGCCTGGACTCAGTTCTCATTGCCGTCTCCTACGGCTTCATCCTCCGGGCTGTCTTTCGTCTTCCATCCATTGATGCTCAACGCAAGGCTCTGAGTACCTGTGGCTCTCACTTTGGTGTCATTCTGGTTTTCTATATACCTGCCTTCTTCTCCTTCCTCACCCACCGCTTTGGTCACAACCGGGTTCCCAAGCATGTACACATCTTCTTGGCTAACCTCTATGTGCTGGTGCCTCCTGTGCTCAATCCTATTATCTACGGAGCAAGAACCAAGGAGATTAGAAACCGATTTGTAAGACTGCTTCGCTTGGGAAAGGACTTGGTATGAAGTTCTGGATATTACATCATCAGATCTCTGGAAGGAAGAGGATTGACCAGATGAAGTGGAAATTTAATGCTTTTATTAAACAGATAATTTTTTTCACTGGGGTTTTGAAGGAATTCTGAATTGTCCAGAAGAATGATATTTTCACTCTTCTCTCAAAAGTAATGTCCTGGCTAGCTTTATGTCAACTTGACACAAGTTATACCAAAGGAAGGAACCTTAGTAAAGGAAATGCCACCATAAAATCCAGCTTTTCCTAATCTGTGACTGATGGGGGAGGGACCAGACCATCATGGATGGTGCCATTCCTGGGCTGATGGTCCTGGGTTAGCAAGCTACTGGGATCAAGCCAGTATGTGCACCCCTTCCCTTCAGTCTCTCCATCAGTTCCTGCCCTGCCAGAGTTCCTGCCCTCACTGCTGTTGATTATGGACTGTTATATGGAACTGTGGGTGAAACAAACCCTTTCCTCCCTGAGTGGCTTTGGTTTGGTGTTTCATCGCAGAAATAGTAACCCTAACTAAGAAAAGTGACCACTGCCTACTAAGGAAGGCAGCTACCAGCCTGATGAAAAGACTGGGTTTTGTGAAAGGGACACTCTCCTGTGAGTTCAAGTGGAAAATAAAAACGAGTTTAGAATGAATTTGAATCTGAATTCTGCCACTTCAGCCCTTCAGAGAGCAATTGCAGTCCAAAGTGTCCAATCAGAGTGCCTGAACTTAAACTTTTCTACCTGCTTATTGTGTAGCTGTGGACACGACGCTCAGTGCCTATGTACCTTAGTTTGACCAGTTACTAAATGGAGGTATTGGCATCTAACTCATATTAGGGTATGAAATGTATATGTCAATAAGTGTAGGAAGTTTTTTAGGGTATTGCTTGTAAAGGTTCAATAAACAGATAAAATTAAAAAGTTTTACCGCTTCTCTAAACATTAATAGGAACTTCTTTACCTCCTTTTTATCATTATTGTATTCCATGGAGTTATAGTGGTAACTACATTACAGAACAAATATGTAATATATAAATGGTGTTTAAAGTGTAATTGAAGCCTAATGAAACTGAATATCCTCCATCGTTCCTTCAGTCTTCTGGTTTGAGATCTAGTTCATTTCGGTCCTAAAGTTGCCCCTTATTAACTTTCCAGGGAGCTGAGTCAGACTCAATCAGTAATCTCAATTCTAAAACTTACAGGTTCACCTACACTGTTCAAACAAGACGACAGTTAATATTTACATTTCAAAATAAGATGACGTAATTCAGAAAAACACCAAAGGTTACACAATGACGTAGACAGTATCCTGTTTATTATCTAGTCTTTTGCGATAAAAAATAATGTAAGCTCTGGAAACTGGTGACCGGAAGCTTAAATCTGAGCTGCTTGATTCAGGACATCCCATTTAACCAGCCCCACCTCAGTAAATGCTTGTTGTGGTATCTGAAGCAAAGCAAGCTGTAGATTCAGACTGGTAATAGTTGATGGTATTCAGTTAGCATTGCTTAAGTTAGTGAAGATCTACATGTTTCCAATCTCCCACCCTAAACAGAAGTCATCTCCAATTGGCATCTGCTTTCAAAGGAAGCACTAGTTTTCTTCACTGGGAGGTTACTGGCGACATAAACCACACTTAGGAGTAGGCCACGTGCTCAGCAGTGCATGGCAACATAGAGAAAACTCAGTGGTGGTTTTGTAAATGTTTTCATATTATAATGTTTGTTTGTGCATTTTTTAATCTGCCTAATCTTTTACTTGAGTATTATGTTTCTGATTTTGTGTTTATGGGTTTTGTTTATGGGTTTTTTTTGTTTATGGGTTTTGTTTATGGGTTTTTTTTGTTTATGGTTTTTGTTTATGGGTTTTTGTCTTGGATGTCTATGTGTGTTATGTTTTTTTCCATTTTTTAAAATTCTGGTTTGTTTGTTCTGCTTGTTTATTTTCTAAAAAAAAGAGAGAGAGAGAGGAAGAAGGTGTGGGGCTGGGTAAAAGAAGAGGTGGGGAGGATGAACTGTGGCCAAAATTTATTGCATGAATTTTCAATTAATTTTTTGAAGATCTTTTTTTTAAAAGATCTGTGTGTTTCACAGATTTATATGACATTCCAAAATAATATAATGGCTATTTCTTTGATGCTTTGTTATTATTCGAAATTGTATCACAGCAGGAGTTTAATCTGTGCTTGATACAGAATCAATAATATGCTAATACTGTGGCAGAATTGTTACAATGTGCTGTGTGCATAATAATCTTTGCTAACTCAATAAATAAATGGTATGTTCAATATGTTACTGTGATGAGCAATTTAAAAGCATGCCTAGCACATAGACTGGTACTGAGACACTACTTGTTTCTATTCCACTGAGCCTGCTTATCCACACACTTAAGACAGAGATAAAGAGGAACTGTTTTTAGCCAGCAAGGCAATTGAGGGATAGTTCTCACAATGTTCACAAGTGAAACTCGAAGACAAGTGTCAGCTCTCACCATAAAGTTAATACCATGCCAAGCTGTAAATACAAGTCCACACACCAGGAGCCACCAGGAGCCACGGCTTCATGTCTTGGTACAGGAAGCTCAAAGGAGAAGATCAAAATGTGGAGAAGAGATAGTAAGAGAAAAGGGCAGAGCAGAAAAGAGACACAGAGGACCGGTGAAAAGGCTTAGTGAAACGGAAATGTGGAATGTCTAGAATGCCTCAAAAGTAAGGCGTAGATCAGAGATTCCAACATAAACGTCCTTGGTGGCTGAACAAACCTGAGCTACAGCAGGGATGGAGCTGGAGCGATCCTAGTCAGCTGTGACATAAGTCAGAGTGGACTTACTCACCAGAGACCACAACACTGTTCACAACAACCTTCCTCAAAACTATGTTCCTATGGGTGAATAAATCCAAATACTGAAGCTAGACAAAGTTCTCTATTCCCAGAGCACAAGCAACTGCTTCAGCCTGCTAAGTCAGGCCATGCTAGAGCCTTAGACACCTTGAGAAGTCCCTACTCTTTCAATGATGTTGTTTTGCCATAAACCTAAACTGGGACCCTATATTACTGAATATGCTTATTTCTTTAAGTCTCGCTATTTTAGTTTGCACAGATGGGGCCCTTTTAGAATCAGTTCTCAGTGATCCAGCCCTCTTAAGAAACAAAAATTCTTCTGCAATTTGTACCAATGCCATAGTCCATCTATTTTTTACTTTCTTTTTATTAACTCTTTGTGTCTTTCACACATGCATCTCCGTTCCATCTCCCAATCCCTTCGTAACCATTGTCTGCCCTTGCAACCTCCCCCAACCCAAATAAAATAAGGTAAAACTTAAGAGAAAAAAAAAGAAAAAGAGAGAGAAAACAAAGGAAAACTCGATCTCATCATGGAAGCTGTAGTGTGACACAGTGAGTTTGCCATTTGCAAGTTTTCATTACAGAGTCATTAGTCTTGTTCGAGACCTCTAGTTTTTGCTACGCTGTTGATGCTGGGCCCTCATTCAAACTCCTCTTGGTTATTCTGCTGTTGCCGTGTATTGTGGAGATCCTGCAGCTTTGGGTCCTCAGGACCAGTCCCTTCATGTGCTCCAGTAGATCACAGATGGAGTGGATGTTGAGGTAGGCCAATACATAACTGCTGTTCTGAGTCTGGATGGTTGCAGGTTTGGTCAGCCCATCAGGTCTTCCTTTTTCTCACCTGGGTAAGCTCCCCTGCATTGCCCTGGTTAACTCACTCTGCAGTGATGAACCGAGGGTGGGGCCAGTTCATCTGCTTTCCTGTTCTCAAGGTCGGCTCTCCTACTCTACACCTTTAGACCAGTTCTACTGTGCTGTCTAGGCGAGGCATAGAGGCCACTCTCTGCAGTGTTGCAGCTGAAAAGGGGCAGGGACAGCTCTCCCACTCTTGGAATCTCAGGGCCAGCTCTCCCTTTGATGGGGTGATCTCTCCCCCACCCATGCTGCCACATGATAGATGTGATAGGGACAGCTCTCCTATGCTCACACACCCACCAAGGGTTCTGGCTCACCATAGTCCATCTTTAAGCCTGCAACCCCAAGTCTATCTTTCTCTCATACACCCTCACCCCCTAGACACACATAGACACCTACACACACACACAGTTTAGTATGTATATGCAAAATTTGAAAAAAAAAAACCCCAGTCCTTCTCTTAGGTAGAAGGCTTGGAAATAGACCTTTCATAATCAGTACCTGATAAAACCAAGAAGTAAAACTGTCTGGCTCTGATTATTGATCAAAGCAAAGAGATTCATATCTTTGACCCTGGGGGGAGACTCAATTCTAAGCTACTCAGAAGATCCTTAGACAATGTCTGCCCATTGGCTTTCTGAACAAAGAACAAAGATATGCCAATGTTCCCAACCTTAGGAGTTAAGCCCAGTGGCCCCATCACCTGGACAGAGGAACTGTCTGCCCTGGGGACTATGACGCAAAGACGAGACACAGAATTCTTAACTTTGGGCTGCTCCATACGCTCTTGTGCTCTTCCCGCTCTCGGCGTTGAGAGCACCCCCGTTCTTAATAAGCTGCACCTATTCTCTATGATGCACTTTGGATGTCTTCTCTAGATTCTTTCCATAGAGACTGTGATGATCACAAAGCAGAGCAAGATCTCAGTACCATTTCCCACTCACCCCAAGGAAACATCTTTATGGCCCACCTCCTTGTTCTTCCTAAAGACAGTTGGTTTTATTTGTGTTGATACAACCAAAATTTACAAAAGCAACTACATCACCCATTGCAGTGTTCTGCTATTATCTATTAAAATAGTTTCTTTTGAGGAACTACCCTGTTATTTAATTTCACAGAAGTTAATTTGGACAGCACAGCATCAATGAGACTGATATTTTTTTTAAAATTGGTCAGATTCAAAGTCTATTTTTGAAGCACTCTTAGAATCATTAGCAGATTAATGAGAGCAAGGAAGAGGATAGGTAGAAAGGCGGTTTTGGTGGGGCATAAAGCAGGGAGAAGGAAGGTAGGAAGGAGACTGTGGTGGGGGCACCAAGGGCACCTGTAATACTGTAAGGTATTTGGTTAGAAAAGATGGATTTGCTATTTTCCTTTTTTGATTCTTTTTTCTTTATTACCTCCTCTTTCTCTTCCTCCTCCTCCTCCATCCTTTCTTTTCCTTCCTTGATTCTTTTCTGGAAAATGGGGGAAAAACTGGAAAAGGGACAGGTATTCAGAAGCTCACTAATGGCTTCGTTATTTGAAACACATCACTGTGAAAGCTCTCACAGTTTGGCTATCTTACTTTGAGATCCAGAAAAGAATCTAGACTGTCTTTATTCATCTGTCACATGACAGCATGGGTAGGAAAGAGACGCCCTCCCACTCCCATCAAGGCCTGAGGCAGGTGGGAGGGCTGGCCTTGAGGTCATAAGAGCGGGAGAGCTGACTTTGTCCCCCACCAGTTGCAACACTGGGAAGAACAGGCCCCCACACCTTCCCTGGGATGCAAAAGAGAGTCATTACTGTTGGTGGTGTGGGTGAGCCAGCTCCAAAGTTTGAGCATGAGAGAGCTGTCTTCATTACTCATCTTTCAAGTGGCAGCATGTGCTGTGGGAGCACATTCTGCTCCTTCAGCCAATAACCTTTAAGATAGCTGCCCACGTGGGCTTGGTCTCCTATACTGCACAGCAGTAACCGTGCGCCCACTCTCGTGCATCCAGTTCCCATTTCCAGCTGCTAGATTCTGTTCCTGTTCACGTGTAGAACTGCTGTCTAGGACAGTGATCTGTAAGTTTTCGCTTAAATAAATAACCCTTTTATCGTTCATAATTCTGAACTGGTGTGGGATTGTTTTGTGACTTCCGTCGTCATCTGGCGCCCAAATGTTTGGTTTTAGAACCCCCAGGCTCTACTGCCCACTGCCAGCTTGGAGTGTGCCCGGCTAGGCAAGAGCCCTCCCTCAGCTGGCTGCAGCCTCTGCACGGAGCCAGCAGTTCATTTGGATATAGAATTCTTGTGAAGCAGCGGCTTTTCTTGCTGCAGATCAGCCATGGTTCTTTAAATTATCTCATTACTCACCTCAGAGCGGCTTCCAGTCCCCGTGTGCTAGCCCCACTGTCTGTGTGCCACCACACGCACACTGCATGGAAATTCAGATTGGATACAGGCTTTCCTGGGTACCTGCTATTATCTTGCTATCCCTGTGCTCCTGTGGCTGCTGACTGATCAGGGCCCTCCGTGGTACACACAGTTTGTGATTTATATTAATAACTATTTTTTGATCTAAGCATATCTTTCAGCATTTCACACTAAAATCAGATTCATACCAGTCACATGACTCCAAGTACGTCACTGGGTGCAGCTGGGTTAGTTTTGTAGGTAGCCTGTGACACCTACTAGCAGGTAACGGTTATTGCACCTAATCCAGCTAATTAAACCACAGGTAAGATTTAATAGCCTAAATATAGATCATAAGTTTAAAAGGGCAATATGTCAGACACCTAACCGTCCAAGGTTTCAATAGCCTCTTTACTTACACCATGTGTAAGGTTTTACAAGACTTATATGATGTCCCTCTACATCACTATTTTTAATTCTGGGGATTTGTCTTGTCCTCAATATTTTTCTCTTAAAAATATGGTCTGGCAATAGGGCTAAGAATGAGGCATTTTTAGGAATGGTACAGTCTTTACAGACTGATACCACACTTCTAAAGAAAGAGCTTGAAAATCTGAAGAAGAATAATACCACTTTAACGAACAAAACTCAGTTTTTTTAAGCCTATAAGAGAAAAAAATTAACATAAAAATTTAAGGTTCCATGGTGCCAAAGTGCTAACTAAGATGTGACTGCTGAATTCTCAGCCCTCAATGAGGCATCTACATCTCATGCTCCAAGACTCAGTAACATCACAGAAGGGAAGCAGGGGCCAGAGGACAGTGAGGAGCACTATTAAATGCTGTCTTCTGTATATGACTTGTCTGTCACAGTTATGAACACACAACAGCTATGGCTGCCTACTTTAAACAAGTATGCAAAAAGATAAAATAAATGGGCACAGTATTGAGAATAGTTAAAAAGAACAGACCTGCCCCCACCCATTGTAGCCCCATTAGCCACTCATCAGACAAGGCTCCTGCAGACAGACCACTCCATTACCACTGGCCATCAAAACTTGTAATCTACAAATCCCACTCTGCCTCACAAACCCACCCATCCCCCAGGACCTCAGCCCCTTCTCAACACAGATGGGATCTGTACCAGTTGGACCAAGAAGTGAGTGACTAGTCTCATAGCTGGGCAACCCAGTTTCTAGGTTCTAGGTCCCAGGACAAAGCAAACAAATCAAAACAAAAACCCCACAAAGCGCAAGTTTTTAAGGTTGCTATACAGAGTTACACTTCTATGTGGAATGACAGAATTAGAACCCAGGTACTCTGAACACAGTCTTAAATGGTTACCATTAGAGATATTTCCTTATTAAGTTTTGATGAAGCACAGCATTATAGTTAAACTGATGTACAATTAAAGGCTCATTCCTAGGCTGGAGACTCCGACATATATTTTTCTCCAAGCTGGAGAAGAACTTTCTGTCATCTTCTGTCAGTGACAGAGGAATGGGGTTGTGGGGTTGTGGAGACTTGGCAGAGCTGAGACAAGTGGCTCAGGGGCAGAGCACCTCCTCAGCATGCACAAGGCCTTGGCTTCCATCTGTGGCACCACAAAACAGGAAGTGCGGGTTAGCAGAGGTCTTGCCTCACCTCGTGAGGAGTCATTGTCTTTGGAAATATGGGAAGACATGAATTGCTATTGTCTTGTAAACAGACAAGTAACTGGATCAAGGAAAAGAACCCATACTGGTTTGTATTTAGAAGTGTAGAATATTAAAATAGAAAGACCACATGTAAGCGCCAATGCTCACTTACCAGGCCAAGGTTACCTGATATGGCCATAAGGAATGAAACAAGGCCTAGACTGGAGGGGCCCTGTGGCAAGACAGAGGCTATGACAATTTTGTTGAGAACAATCAAACTTTTTTTGCAGAATATAATCATAATTGCCAGGATCAATACAGTTGTAGTTGCTGGGAAAAATGAAGTTTGGAAGCTATACAGGGTATGCAAAATTAATGTCTAAGACCTACAGTCCTGTCAAGCTTCCATGTGTCCTTGACTACTAAGGAAACATACAGAGAAACACGAAGTAGTTTGAATGCTTCACTATTTGGGGGAGTGCATCAGTAGCTCAGGAACTGAAAGGCACAATGTATTGCAGGAGCCATGGACTCTAATCTAAAAAACCTATAATAAATGCTTCTCAGGGCAGCTAGGACAAGGTAACTCCATGGTTTCCTACAACCAAAGACAGAAAAAAAACTGTAAATGATACTACGGACTTCAGGCATTTGAGCTACATCAGTCATGGGGCACTGTGCAGATATGGGTGAGGCGTTAGGAGGGGGGCCCACAGACTGTCATTGGCTTTGAACACTTCATAGGGTTAAAATATGGATAAACTGCATCAGGAAAAGAACAGTCACAGAATCTATAGATGAGAGCAACATGTTTGAAAACATCATAAAATGAGAGAGTGCAAGCTTCTCGGTCTAGGAAAACTCCAATACGAATGGGAGAGTGACACAGAAGAGGAAATGAGACAGTGACAGCTCGAGGGACAAAGCATATCGTAAAGCCATTATATACAAACCTGAGTGTAATTCCTATAACCCAGTAGCCATATTTGGGTAGATATTGTATATCCTGCTTAACAATAGAATTTTTTATGACTTTGAAGTCCTTTTCATTCACTGCAGGAAGCTGGGGTCGAGCACATCTTCCATCATTTATTCCCAGGAGCCAGGCATCACATCCAGACACGTCTACTTCCCAGTAATGTTTCCCTGAGTGGATAGCTGGATACCCTAGGACACCCCAATCATAGGACTCAGAAACTTTAAAAATTCTTCTACAACCACTTCTATGTTGTATTTGTCTTTGGGCCACATTAATGACAATGTTTTCATTGTTGAGTTGAGGCAGGGTCACGTGAACTGCAGAAAAATGAGACATATAAATTAAGAGTCACATGAGAAACAAGGTACTGCCTTATTTGTGATTTAAGTAGCAGAGGCCTGAGAAAAAAGTGAAAGGGAATTTGGCAGAGCCATTTTTAAAGTCAAGGAAAGGCAGATTGTTGTGCATATTGGGAGCAGTAACATAAAACATAAGTATTAGTAGAGAAATAAACTATAAAAAATATTAAGACAAGAGAGGCTGATGGTGTTATTTCTCCTTACCCCAGTGGCGCTGGGCTTCCCGGAGCTCTGAAATGATGAAAATGCACAGCATTAAATGCAAGCAAGGGAATCAGAACATTAAGGTCAATGTGCTCTGCAGAGTGGGGGAAGGGCTGGAAACTGTGATATAGGACGGAATGAATGATGATGTCCATTAAATATGATGGCATCGCTGGACACACTTTCTATTCTTCTCAGATTCTGTACCCATGATCAGAGACATCACTCTCTGTCCAGAGAGTGCAGCCCCAGCCACCCGTAGAGTCCCCCAGGTAACCACAGAACGTAGCTGCTCTCACCTTGAAACATTTGCAGCATGCCTTTCAGATCCGGAGCTCGGAAGATCCTCCTCTGACTTCTCAAGATGATTTCGGGCTGTTTCAGTCTTAAGTTCTGACTCCTAGGGACAAAAAATTGACCTCCACATCTCAGACAGTGTGACCTCTGACCACCATGGACTCCCTATCACTCCCTATCATTGTAACCAAAGAGGTCCTGGATCTCTCCTGAGAATTCTGAGCAGGGAAAGAGAGGGTAGATACTAACTCTGCAGACGTGAGAGACAGACTCATGACCCCTCCCACTTACTTGCTATGTGATGTTGGGAAAGTCTTACTTATCTGGAACAGAGCTCCTCACTTGTACAGTCAAAAACTTTCTTCCCCACTCTCACATATTCCCTCCTGGAACTCTTAAGAAATGATGAATTAGCCAATCTTAAAACAAATCAAACTAAGGTACCTAAAAATTAATGCGTAGGCCAGGCAGGGGCCAAAAGCCTTTAATCCCTGCCAAACCAAATCCAAGAACACATCAAAAAAAAAAATCATTCACCAAGTTCAAGTTGGTTTCAGTCCAGGGATACAGGGCTGATTCAACATATGAAAACCTGTCAATGTAATCCACCACATAATTAAACTGAAAGAAAAAAACATGTGATCATCGCATTCAATGCTGAAAAATCCTTCAACAAATTCTAACACCCCTTCATGATAAAGGTCTTAGATAGATCATGGATACAAGAAATGTGTCTAAATATAATGAAAGCAATATATAGCAAACCAATAGACAACGTCAAACTAAATGGAGAGAAAGTCAAAGGGATCCCACAAAAATCAGGAACAAGACAAGGGTGTCTACTCTCGCCATATCTATTCAACATAGTACTCGAAGTTCTAACTAGAGCAATAAGACAACAAAAGAAGATCCGGGGATAAAACTGGAAAGGAAGAAGTCAAACTTTCACTATTTGAAGATGATATGATAATTTACATAAGTGACCCAAAAAATTCTACCAGGGTACTTCAACTGATAAATACCTTCAGTAATGTGGAAGGATACAAGATCAACTCAGAAAAATTAGTAGCCCTACTAATTAAAGATGATAAACAGGCTGAGAAAGAAATCAGAAAAACACCACCCTTCACAATAACCACAAAAAAAAATGAAATTATTGTTCTTTAAAAAGATAATAGGTTGGGATGCCCCAAGCAGCCTGTGAGCCAGGCAAAGGCTGCCAGATCAGTGCAGGTTCCCCGGGCAAGCAGCAGAGTCAGGCGGCTGGATGCAGTGGACAGCAGAGTAAATGGACATAAGGCTATACATAAAGCTAAACATTTATTACTTAAAGAAGAGGGAGACATTTATTACTTAAAAAGAGGGAGACAGAGAGACATGGAGACAGACATAGAGAGAGACACAGAGACACATGTAAACACACCAAGAGACAAAAACAAGAGAGAGGGGGAGATGGCGACGAGGGAGGACAGAAGTGGCTGGGGAGTGGGCGTGGTTAGCTCTTAAAGGGACCACAAAGGAATAACAGAAATATCTTGGGATAACACTAACCAAAGAAGTGAAAGACCTGTATGAGAAAAACATTAAGTCAATGAAGAAATAAATTGAAGAAGATATCAGAAAATGGAAAGATCTCCCATGCTCTTAGAAAGGTAGGATCAACAAAATAAAATGGCCATCTTACCAAAAGCAATCTACAGATTCAATGCAATCCCCATCAAAATCCCAACACAATTCTTTACAGACCTGGAAAAAAGCAAAACTCAACATCATATGGAAAAAAAAAACAAACAAACCAGGATAGCCTAAGCAACCCTGTAAAATAAAGAAACTTCCAGACATCAAGATCTACTTTAGAACTATAGTAATGAAAACAGCTTGGTATTGGCATAAAATCAGACAGATTGACCAATAAAATCAAATCAAAGACCTGGATATTAATCCACACACCTATGAACACCTGATTTTTGACAAAGAATCTAAAATTATACAATAGAAAAAAACTTCAACAACTGGATGTTGACGTGTAGAAGAATTAAGAATTCAAATAGATCCATATCTACCATCATACACAAAACTCAAGTCCAAATGGATCAAAGACTTCAACATATAGCCAGCAACACTGAACCAACCTCATAGAAAAGAAAGTGGGAAGTAGTCTTGAACACATGGGCACAGGAGACCACTTCCTAAATACAGTACCAACAGCACAGACACTGAGATCAATAATCAATAAATTGGACCTCTTGATACTGAAACGCTTCTGTAAGACAAAGGACACAGTCAGTAAGACAAAATTGCAGCCTGCAGAACAAGAAAAAAATATTCACCAATCCCACATCAGACAGAGGACTGATTTCTAAAATATATAAAGGACTCAAAGAACTAGAATCAAAATACCAAATAATCCAATTAAAAGTAGGGTACAGATCTAAACAAAGAATTCTCAACAAAAGAATCTCAAATGGATAAAGGACATTTAAGGAATTGCTTAACATCCTTAGTCATCAGATAACTGCAAATCAAAACGACTCTGAAATACCATATTATACCTGTCAGAATGGCTAAGATCAAAAACACCAAAGATAGCTTATGCTGGAGAGGATGCTTATGCTGGTGGCAAATGTGATCATCTGCTGTGGAAATCAGTATGGTGATTTCTCAGGAAATTGGGATTCAATGTAGCTTAAGACACGGGAATACCATTTTTGGGCATTTACCCAATGGAAGAACACTCATATCACAAGGACATTTGCTCAACTGTGTTCATAACATTATTAGTAATAGCCAAAACCCAAAAACAACCTAGATGCCTCATCTAAAGAATGGATTTTTAAAAAAAAAATGTGGTTCATTTACACAATGGAGTACCAGCCAGGGAGAAAAAACAATGACATCTTGAAATTTTCAGGCAAATGGATGGAACTAGAGAAAAACCAACCTGACTGAGGTAATCCAGACCCAGAAAGACAAACACGGTATGTACTCATTCATATGTGGACACTAGATATAAAGCAAAGGATAACAAACCTATAGTCCAGGACCCCAGAGAAGCTAGATAACAAGGAGAACCCCTATGAGAGACAAACAAGGATCTCCATTGGAAGGGGAAATAGATGGGATCTCCTGAGAGAATTGGGAGTGGAAGGGGAGAAAAGGGGAGCAGAAGGTGAAGGGGTTAAAAAAGGGGGAGGGGAAGAGAACATGAGGGAATGGGATGGTCGAGATGGAGGAAAGACAGAGAGGGAGAACAAGGAAACAGATATTTTCATTGAGCAAGCCATTATGGTGCTAGCAAGAAACCTGGCACTAGGAAAATTCCCTAAGAAATAGTGGAGAGGGTACCTAAACTGGGCCTTCCCCTGTAATCAGACTGACGACTACCTTAGTTGTCATCATAGAACCTTCATCCAGCAACTGATGAAAGCAAATGTGGAAATCTATAGTTAAGGACAGGGCCAAGCTCCAGAGTCCAGTTGAAGAAAGGGAGGAGTGATAATATGAAATAGGTGATCTGAGCTAATGGGAGCTCACTGACTCTGGACTGACAGTGGGGTAACCTGCATAGAATCAAACTAGGCCCTCTGAATGTGGTGACAGTTCTGTGACATAGGCAGTCTGTAAGGTCACTAGCAGTGAGACCAGGATGTATCCCTACTGCATGAACTGGATTTTTGAAGCCCATTCTCTTTGGAGGGATACCTTGTTCAATCTAGGTATAGGGGAAATGGGCTTGGTCCTGCCTCAAAGTGATATGCCAAACTTTGTTGACTCCCCAATAAAAGTCTCTGAGGAGTGGATGGGGGTTGGGGTTGGAGAAGGTGGGCAGAACAGGAGAACGGAGAAGGGGAGGGAGTAGAAATTTATATGTAAGATGAGAAAAGATTGTTTATAAAAGTAAGTAAATAAAAACAAAAACAAAAGAAAAATGTAAGTACAACCACAAAGGATCTCCGGATCTCTTCTAGCCCCATGAGAAATACACAGATCCACAGGAATTTTTCCCATTATACAATTCTGTGAGCACTGCAGACAAGGAAGACAAACCCTATCTAGGATGAATCTGTGAATCAAGTACCTGTGAGCTGCAGACAGAGTCAGATACAAGGACAGAGCACGGACAGAATGATGGAAACACAAGGAGTCTGAAAGCTCCTGTGGCTCCATTTGCCTCTTCCCACTGCTGAGCCTAACTCTGTGACTCCCCTTACCCAGACCCCTAAAAGAATCAAATCAGTTCCCAGTAGTTACAAAACAGTCAGAGCCTGTCTTTCCCTGCGTCCTCCTCCTTCTTACTGGAACTTCGGAATAAAACTTTGTCTATATTCCCCCCATTTATTCTAGTTGAATACTAAATAATTCTCACCACACAATAGGGCTATTATTCCATGTCAGCACAAACATACCTCATTAGGACACAATTCACACCCTAGAGAGAATGGAGAAAACACAGTCAAATAACATATTCTGCATGTTCTTGCAAATCCTGGTCACACTCTCACTGATTGTAAAAACATATTCAGAGAATCAAATCTGTCACCCACGGTTCTCTAAGACATGATATAAATAGGATACGTGACTCTTTACTTGACTTACATGTAAGCTAAGACTATTTTCTGTCCCATACTACAAGGCTTTGGAAAGCAAAGGTGAATAAATGGTAGTTTACAAGCTTACATAGGTTTTGCTGAATGTACAACTAAACACGCAAACACATGGCTCTATCCATGCTCCATGTCAGCTCTCCATCACCTTACTTACAACTGATAATGTGAGAAGCTGATTCCTAAATTATTTGAGTCATTTAGACACAATTCAATATGTTAGTAATGAAGAAGCCACAAGGACTAGAACCATAGATTGTCAGATACTTAAAACCAACTAACCATATCTCTCTTTCTCTTTTTCCTTTCTCTGTAATTGTTCTGGCAGGAAAATAAGTTAATCTAAAGAGACATATGCATCAAGTTGAAAAACTGTTGAAACAATGATCATCCCCCAAAATGGGAATTTCTCCAGGATTCTCACACTGGAGAAGAAAAACAGTTCAGAGTGAGAACTGGTCACCATAAGAGATTTCAAGCACTTTTAATTACTTACCAGACCAGATTAAAGTATGAATCTGTAACCCAGATAATGTTGGGAGAAAGACCACACTTTGACAAGGAAAGCTCATTTTTGTATATCCTTGGCTCTCTATTTAAATTTTGATATTACTTTGAGAAAATGAAGATGGACAAAGGGGTTTTTTTAAAAAAAACTTTTGTCCATCTATCAAATGCAGTTACACTAATAAATATCGTTTTCATCTTTCCAACACAATTTTTGCTCTTTTACACGAACAGATATCAAGACCTGACCTACCAGGTCCACTTTGATATGTTAAGTTGTCACCTCAGTTAGTCATATAACATGGGTTTGAGACCTAATATTATGCAAATATTCTCTCATGTTTGGATTTCAAATAATATTGGTAGATTTAAGTAAAGTTACAATCTTTGAGAAATGTGACCATTCATCTAACAACTAGCAATTACCAAGGGCCCCTTGCCTGTAGTTGAAGTTCCTGTGAAAGTCCATAGTGGAACTTGGTGTGGTTTAGGCTTGCACAGGTCTTAGGTTTGGTGTCATAACCAATCCTAGTTCATATGTGTTGCTGCTAAGCTGTGCCCAGAAGACACTGTTTTCCTGGTAGACCTTCATCGTATCTGCCTCCTACATTCCTTCTGCCCCTTCTTCTGCAGTGACTCCTGGGCCTTTGAATTAGAGGCGGGCTAAATATATATATTTATTTATATATATTTATATATTTATATAAATAAATATATATATATATTTATTTCCATTTAAAGCTGGAAAATCTGTAGTCTCTTCCTCTTTCCACATTGGCCAGTTATGGGTTTCACAATGTAACCCTGATGCCTGAAACTCACTATATAGTCCAGGCTGGCCTTGAATCCATGAAGCTTCATTTGTTTCTGCATTCTAACTGCTGGGATTAAAGGTGTGAGCCAGAATACCTGGATGTAGGTTGGGAAGTTTTTATTTCATTTTCATTGATGTGTACTCCTCATGTTTTGTTTCTGTGTATGAGAAACCCTCAAGTCCTGGGATCCCAGGCAGTAGATGCTTGGCTGCACATGGATTTATTTTGTATAACATAAACCGAAAAAGAAGATTTCATAGAAAAAAGAATTCTGGGGAGAACTTATCATTCTAGTTATAGATAAATTCTGATACTTAAACCTGTTCTCATAGAGACATGTGTATGTTCATGTCAACTGAGTCATTATCATAGGAGATAAAATAGAGTTAACTGGAGAACTAATCAACAGATACATGGATTAAAATGATATAATAAGCATATATGTTAAAATATTAGGTCTTCAAAGCAAGAAGTATTGTCATTTGTTATAACTTTATAAACTCAGAAAACTTATGTTATACTAAATCATCTGGGCACAGGAGAAAACAACACTAAGTGAAATTATTATACATATCATGTACAAAAATTAACAGGAACTTTAAAGTTCCAGCCTTTAAGACTTCCTTTCAGGTTTCAATTAAAAATGCCATGATCAGCTAATGGTGGGCTAAAATTCTGAGGGTTAAGAAAAACCTACTCACAAGTACCGTCTAGCCATGTTTCTTCTTCTCTCAATCCTTATTCTTCCTTGTTCTGTCTTGCTCTACCTTGTTCTTTCATGTTCTGTCTTGTTCTCCCCATTGCAAGTATTTTCAGTCATATTTATCCTTAAAACCAGCAATTCCCCAGCCATAGAAGGTTCCACACACACGTGCACGTGCACGCACACGAGCCTGTCAACGCAAAGGTGGATAGTGCACACTGGTGAACTTTTTAATGGAGAAAGTTAGTTAAGAAAGGAATTAAATAATCAGGGAATTCTGGAGGGGAAGGTCAGTGTGCTACACTATGTTGTTAGATGATCAGTAAAAAGCTAAAATGTTTATTTTCAGTGCTCTGCTTTTTTCCTCTCCCAGCATGTATAGAATCAGGTGACCAAGCAGCAATGTAAACAGTAAGAAAGAAGTCATGGCTCTTGATCAGATAGCACATACACCAGAAGCTGTGGTTTCCATGGGTTTCGGCCTGAATTCTGCTCTAGGCAGTAAAAACAAAGAGACCCAGGCCTCTATTTCATCAGTTCCTGAGTATGCTGTTATTAGCTGTTCTAGTCATGAGGTAAAACCAGACCAGAAGCTTGGGTAAGTAGTAACTCTATGTCCTTGGATATCTGTGAATACCTTAAATAGAATGGTCTTTCCTTGGACATTAAGCACTGACCAACAGCCTTCTGATAAAGATAATTGCAGAAAAACAGATCTTTGCATTTGCCTAGGGGAGAGGAACAAGGCCTGATAGTAAGAAACTGTTTTCACATATAGCTCAAAGGCATAGAAAACAGTTCTGAACTGTGAAAATTAATTCCCAATATGCAACAGAAAGGGAGTTACCTATGGGAAAAGTCTATAGCAAAGGGAAGCCACTTTATTTACAGAGAAATAATGCCAAAATTTTCGTGATTCTTAGTTTAACCTTTATCAAAGCCCTTGGTTCTGATAAGTCGCTTGTGAAAACATGGCTGCATAATTACCATATAATGTTGTGGTTTGTAGTAAAAAAAAATAATCTCACAAAAGTAAAGATTATAATTTGGGTTATGAGAGGCTGGAGGCAGAGAAAAGTGGGCAGATTCTTTGGTCAAGTGATACAATTTCAGGCTTGTAGAGTGTAGTGTCTGTAGTTGGTATCTATGTGAACTAACTTAGTTTAGTCATATATACATAATTCCATCTAATATAGGTGATAAATGAGTGTCCTCAATAATAATTAAACCAATGCAATGGAAACCAGTAAACTAAAGGAGTATGATAACTTCCTAGAACTACTAAGGTCTATAAGATTGGCAATTGAGGTGAAAGAACCAAATTCCTACAGAGATATTCATCACCAGACAAAGACTTTGGCTTAAAGTATTTTAAAAAAATGATAGAGATAAAATGCAATACAAATTTTGTACGTGTACAGATAGAGAAGACACCTTTTATCTCAGCAACTCGAAGACAGAGGAGGGAAACTCTCTGAGATCTTAGTTGGCATCTCCCCTCCCACTGACCATACCTCTGAATCAGAGGCAGTGGGGGTAAAACTCTCCAAACTAATATTAAATTCAGGTGAAATGACTGTTGAATATGCTTCACACATGCTCACGTTGCAGTAGGATAGTAACTACCCATGATGGAACAGATCTTTCCAACGTTCTGCTACTATACTTTTCTTGATAAACTAAGACAAGCAATTTCCCCTGGCCATCCAGGCATGTGATGATTTCCCCAGCTTCTGAAACTGGTTTAGGAAAGAGTTCAGAGAGAGCCCAGAGAGCCCTACTGTCCTCACCAGGGAGGTCACAGCAGCACAGAGGGAGGGAAAGTACTTCCAGGTGTCCTGACTCTCAGATGCCAACCTCCTGCAGTCTTACCTGCAGCATCTCTATGGTTGAGCACTGCAACCCATGCTCCAGATCTGAGATGAGGTCTCTCACTGACTCCCTCTGCTTCTCCAGTTCATTTTCATATTCTTCCAGTCTTTTGACAATGTTTTCCTTTTTTTGCATCAGCTTCTGCAGCATATTCTCCTTCAAATACAGGGATATTTTCATTTCTCTAAACCCCTTGTGGACATTTTCTACATCCGTCTGTATTTTTTCCTTCAGGGATAAAAATAATAGAGAGTTATTCAGACTGTCCTAATGGGACTGAGAGACAGAAATCCACTGTTCTGGTGGGGAGTTCTCACAGGAACTGAGCTTGGGAAGGGAAGGAAGTAATAAAGAAGCATCTGTCTCCTTTCAGAGTCTGTTCATACATTCCAAAACAAAGATCTTAGGACACCTTTACCAAGGCTACCTGAGGCAAAGTGAGTACCTGGGTGTGGCTCAGTTTTCACACAGCTACTTGCAATACTCCTCATTCTACCTCTGAATCCCTGAAAGAAGCTAACCCCAAGAATAGAGCTGTGACTGTTCCCAAGCTTTTTCCCAATGGTCAGAGTTCCAGAAAGCATCACAGGAGGAGCCCCAGGATGCAGTGCCATTCTCACCAGGCCCCTGCCATGGTGTCAGCTCCTCACACAGCCAGGCTCAGCTGTGATGCCCTCTCTGTGCAGCCCCAGCTCCAAGGGAACAGGCAGAGAGGACTAATCAAGGCCTCTTGTCCCCATCAGCCTTCAGGGAATGAAGAGCCAGGGAGCTTCTTGTCCAGGTCCCTCCCCAGTCATCAGGCTAACTCCCTTAGGAGGTAGGGTCCCCACTTGCCTCCCAGGAAGTTCTCTCCTTTTGAAGGTCATATTTCCACAGGTCACAACTTTTCTCATTAGCCATCTGTATCACCAGGGCATCCTGGAGCATCTCCTGTGGGAGAGGAAGTATAGCAGAGTCAAGCTGTGAGCTTAGTAGGACAGCTGCTCCTAGCCAAAGGCCAAGAAACCCTTCTGAGAAAACAGTGAACCTTATGCACATGTGTGTAATATTCAGTTTCCAGCTCAATCCACTCTTGCATTTACACACACACACAGCCCCATACAGACAGATACCGAAATCTCTCTTAGTCAGTCATCCCACCAAGACACCTGTCACTTTGATTCTGGCATCAGAAAACTGGGGTAATTTTGTTAGATCTCCTGGTCTTTCACATAAATATATACATATACACATGCCCTGCAATTGACACACCTGCATATTCCTTTTCTTTTTAAAAAACAAAACAAAACAAAACAAACAACAACAACAACAACAAAGACCTGGATCTTACTATCTAACTATATAGCCCTGGCTGGCCTGGAATTTCTGTCTACACCACTATATCCTCAAACTCATCTGTTGGCAGACTCCTGGTATTGAGCCATGCCCCACCATACTTGTCACATGCACATTCTTTTGTCATTTTCCCCCTTTTTTTGCATTTTTTTCTTATGTTGTCACAGGCTGCCCTACATTGGGCTGCCATATGTTGGGAGCCACATTTTTGAGGTGACTTTTGCTGGGTTTCTAGCCATAACCAGTTCCTACGTTCCAGGGTTTGAGCATGAGGATTAGAAATGTTAGACAGGAGGAACAGAGATAAGAAAGAATCACAGAGACACAGGATAATAATGGGAGGGCAACTCAGCCTCCTGCATACTGAGTTGGGAGTTCTGAGTTCTCTGAGTTTCCCCCCAGTTTAACTTTCCATACGTATTTGTGACCCAATACAACAGGGGGAGAAGGGAAAAGACTGCTTTAACATGATAAAAATGACAACTAGAACAGTTGCTTGCATCAATACTTTGAGACATCAAGTCATTAATTACGAAGAAAGCATTCTGTTGTTTAGGCAGTGAACCCACCTTATCCAAGTATAATAAAGGCAACCTCTCCCTAGGTCAAACCTCCTAATTCAAAAGAAGGAGCAAAAGTATGCTTGAATTCTCTGACCTTTGGTCAGGGTGGAATGCATCTCCCTGTATGGGCCATCTTAATGTCCAAAACCCCAAGTAACCACACCCTAGGTCAGGGTGGGCAGCCACAGTTGTCAACAGCTTTGAATAAACTCAAACTCTCTGACCTTCAGATGAGGTGGAATAGGTTCACATTTTTGGACCTCTACATGTTTTTCTTCATTGAAAATAGATTTTTTTTAATGCAATACATTGTGATTACAGATTCCCCTGCCCCTACTCCTCCCACTTCCTCTCCACCTCCCCTCCCATTCAGATCCACACCCTTTATGTCTCCTGTTACAAAACAAAAAAGTATTTGTTTCTCAACCTCTACAGATTAACCCAAACATAACAAATGTTATGAAACATTTCACTCAAATTCAGACACAAGGCTTTACTTTACATACCAATACAGCCCAGACTTATCATTATGAGAGAAAGAACCCTCAAATGTGGGTGTAGTTATTTTGTGTGGTCATCCATCTCCTACTGGGCATGGGACCTTTCCTTAAGAATGGTTTATTTCCCCAGTGAGACTCCCTTGGAGAAAAGTAAGTTTACAGTAGCTATCAACTGGAGATTGCTTCTGGGTTAGGGGTGGGTCATGTGCCCACTTCTCCCAGCTCTAGAATCCCATCTGGTACAGATGCTTGCAGGCTCTGTGCATGTTGTAACAGTCTCCATGAGTTTACATGCGCGCTCAAAAACAAACAACAGAAAACAAAGTCCCAACACGGAACTTGCCTCTGTGCATCTCACTAGGGAATTCTTTCCCCTTTTCCCAGATGTTTCAGCTGCCACACGCACATTCTTATCACTGCTGCACATCATTCATCAACTAGCCCCATGGTTGGAAGTCACGGGACTGGATTTTAGATAGTAGAAATGAATCTGGCATAAACAACATAAGAAGGTAAGTATGAAATGAATTAGCAGTTCTGCGCTTGGCGTTCCTTGGTCATCAACTCAACTTTACAGGAACAGTTCCAAATTTATTTTTCTATCCTAGTATTGTAGTCCAGGCAGATGCTCATGCAAGTAAGTGGAATAAACCATCATGTCCTTCTAGGACTCTAAAGGTAGGAAAGGATGGAATGATGCAACAGCCCCAGAGTCTATGATGTCCAGGTAATTGACCTGTCACACCAAGTGGAGACTTCCCATCTGTTACTGTCTGCTGCTCTGTGTCCCACATCCTCCTACTTCCTACCTTGTACTTATTGGCCACCTCGTCAATGAGAGCTGTTTGGTGACCACGGTGCTCCTGAGATCTCTCACAAAGCCAGCAGATGGCCACCATATCCTTCTCACAGAAGAGCTGGAGTTTCTCTCCATGTTCTGCACAGACATCCACCTTCTGCTCCTCCTCTGAGCTGGTCTTGAACTCCTTGAGCCTCTCCACGATGTTAGCCATATGCCAATTAGGCCTCAGATTCCCAAACACGTAACTATCTCGGCAGACAGGGCAGATGCTCTCCCTTTTTTCGGCTTTGCTGGACTCATAGTTCAGTGTGATGCAGGCTCTGCAGAAGCTGTGACCACAATCTGCACTCACAGGCTCCACCATGAGGTCCAGACAGATAGGACAGGTCACCTCCTCCTTGATCATCCCCAGGACTGAAGAGGCCATTGTTGCTGTGATGCTGAGTCTGTCTGGCTGTACTCCTGACACTTCTGCTCAGGTACCTGAGTGACTGGGATAATGAGAAATGGGACAAGTGAGAAAGGGAAACTCAGCACTGAACCGTGAAGAGATCAATGAATGTCCTGGATGATAAGGGAAGAGAACAAAAGAGAGAAATACAGAGAGAAGTACAGAGACATGGAAAAGGAGCATGTTGTCATACTTTCAAGTCCTCTGCTATATTTCATCCCAAATGACAAATTTCAGATGCAGGATTGTTATTTCCTTTCTCTGAAGACCAGGAAGATCATGTTTCCTTCCATCAGCCTTGGGTAACCAAACTTCTGTCCTTCCCTTTCTTTCCTAGGACAAAATCACATCTTCAGTGTTACATGCATCAAACTACTCGTGTCTCCTCCGCTGTACTTTCCTCATTCATCAGCACCAAACAGTGTGACCCTCTGATCCTCTCCTTACCAGTCTCTTACCAGAGAGCCTGGTGCTGACCTGGAGTGTACACAGTCCTGATACACATAGGGGATGATTTCTCTTATTGTTATTTAATAAATTTAATAAATGACAATATCTGTGTTTGTAACATGATTAAGAGAAGCCCTGCACTAGATGTATAGTGATGGCCACTTACAAGGTTCATTTTCTTCAATACCCAAAAAGGAGATGAATAGCAGCTCTTTAGATGCTATTTAGACCTCTTCCAGAGGTCCCTGTTCTACCCCATAGAGTTCACCAAAGGAAAAAGGTGATAGCCAGGACAGAATTGATAGCCAGAACATCGAGTATGTGGAATTATTCCTCCAAACACTGCAGATTCTAAGGAATCTTGTGTCTGTAAATTTTGAGAATTTATCCTGCTTGTTTTTCCTCAAATACGGTGGCTGCATCTTAAGCAACTGCTGTCATAATAGTACCTGCAACCCGGCAGCTACCAGCAGTCCAAAGGGCACAAGGGCTCAGGCTGTAGAAATCCAGTTCCTTAACAGGCTCTCTCAAGGCCAATAAGGTAAACTTCAACTATATCTCTACCCTCTATGACCTCTGGATTCAAAGGCTGAGGTGAATTCTGCTCGTTCAGAGAGTTTGAATAATTAATAGCTAGTGTAATGATCTGTTCTGTCTCTTTAAGAGACAAGCCACACTCCCTCCCTCCCCTGTCCACTGTGGCAGGCTGATCTTTAGCTTCCAACCCCAGCTCCTTCCCTTTTCCCATCTCCCACTCAAAGAGGCAGCTCCTGCTTCTCCCCACTTCTCCCCTTCCCCCTTCTCTGTCTCCTCTGTCTCCTCTGTCTCTCTGTCTCTCTCTCTCTCTCTCTCTCTCTCTCTCTCTCTCTCTCTCTCTCCTCTTCTCCACTTCTCACTTCCCCCTCTATAAGCCACTGAATAAGTATCCAACCTTACTCTGCATGGCATGCCTATTCAGGTCTCTGTCTCTTGCCCCCCACCGCATGTCTCCCTGCCCTGGACCAGCCACCCCTCCGGAACCTGCAGCCATCCCTGCCTGGAACTGGCTGCTCTTAGGGCCCACTGACTGCTGCCACATGGCCCGCAGCCACTGTTTGGGGACCTGCATTGTTTCTGCTGCCTGCCACTGCCAAAGATCTGCAGCATTTTTATTAATCCATTTCAGCTAACCCTTTCTTCTTGCTTGCTACTCACAAAAGCAGTGTGTCCTTCTGCTCCACCCACATTTTAGAGTCCTTGCTACATGAGGTCCCTCCCTACCACCTCCTGTCAGCAGTGTCTCAAACTCTTAATCTCAGGTTAATTTTATTTAATAAAAAGATGTAACAAGCCTTTACACTGCTAACAAAAGCAGTAGGGAAAAAAATCCAACACACTTTAAAGTAATATTCCACAACAGTATGGTCTAGAAATTTAACAAAGATGTTGGTGGGAGACTCCATATATGAAAGCCAGCAGGATATTGAGTTCAAAATCACATCAAAAATTATACTTCAAAGTAAACCAATTTCACCTGATAACATGTAGTATTAGTTCAGCAGGCAAAGTCAATGGATAACCCACAGTTCATCAGCAAATGAAAGATAAGGAACTCTTCCCATTCTTTGCTTGAATCTATATGATGACACACACCATTGTTTCAGGAATAAAAATCCTACAAATGTTTAGGTACAGACGTAAATTTCCTTATTTTAAAGCCATACATGAAAAGCACACTGCTAAGTAACAAATTTAGGACAATGGAAAGGAAACTTTTTTTTTAAAGTCATGCAGAAAACAATGGTGTTCATTGTTTTCATTTCTCGTAAACACAGAACAGGAGAAATACCAGCAGTACTGGAAAAGAAATAAAACAAATACAAGACAGGGTTCCTTTGTGGACTATAGCCATTCAGGAACTTATTTTGTACACCAGGCTGGCCTAAAACTCTTAGAGATCCACCTCTCTGTCTCCTTAGTGTTTGGATTAGAGGCTTCTGCCACCACCACCCAGTCACGTTTGTTTTCCAGGTAAAAGAAAAGCCAGTGAATTCAGTAAAGATGCAGGATGTAATAGCCAGAATAGAAAAGTCACAAAGGGTGAAGAACCCAAAGGGAAATTAGCAAGCTGAGCCTGTTGTGCTGACCTCTAAACCTAACTTCTTGGCAGGCGATGCCAGAGGATGGTAATCTCCACAGCTCAGCAGTGGTACACTTGCAGCACAGTAAAAGGGCTGGAGAGGTGGTTCAGTGGTTGAGCACCACCTGTTGTCACACAGACCCTGGGCTCCAGGCCCAGTGTAATAATTCTGAGAGAGAGAGAGAGAGAGAGAGAGAGAGAGAGAGAGAGAGAGA